AACGGGTCCCTCGGCGCGTCACCGTAAATCGTTAAGGCAAACCGGCGGGACTCTTATCCAATCAACGCGCTGCGCTCGAGCGCGCTCTCACATCCATCTCACCTGCAGTGACGAGCGCTCGCTCAGGTGTGATGAACGCGCGCCATGAAATGTTTTTGCCTTTGCAAGTTATTGGTTTGTGACCAGACTTGTTTATTCCTGTTAAAGGTTATTAAACCAATAGATTTTCAGTTTCAGACTGTTGGACAAAACTGTTGAACAAAATGCGGGATCAAAAGTGTCGTGTCCTTTCCTGAAGCACTTATTTTTAGTAGTATTTATTTAAAAATATAGGCTATCTAAAATATGACATCTATAAATGTCTTTGTATATATATATATATATATATATATATATATATATATATATTATATATATATATATATTGATATAATATAAAAATATATTTTTATTTATTATAAATTGTGTCATATTTATACTATACACACATATCCTACAAAATTAATATATTTATATAGGCCTATTTTTAGTTGAATAATGTATCATATTTTATACAGTATATATGTGTATGTATATTAATCAAAAAGCCTTCTGTCAGAGATGTTGTTCGCAAAAATTTTGTAAAAATAATATATATATATATATATATTATCATCGTGCACTTTGCTGTCGTTCTCATCATCATCTCACTGAATAATCAGCATTATTCATATATACAACAACATTTACAAAGTTGTTCAGAGAATAGCATGAGATGACTGTAGTACCAAACGCTGGCGTACTATTGAGACACTTTTCTGACACACGCACACACACACACACTGGAGAGAGAGAGGAAGTGTTGATCACCGCAGGTGAACACACACACTCACTAGTCAATAAAGCTTGAGGAATGAGAGAATAAACACACAAACCGGTTCGCGCATTCTCGTTCTCGTGCTGTTCTGCTGTTTGTGTCCTTTTAAACGCGTTGTTTCTGACGCTTCAGCGCGCGACGAACGCTTCCGTGTTTCTCCATGTGAACGGAAACAAGCGCGTCGATCTACCGCGGAATCAGAATCAGATCGTTTCGATCCAGGCTCCACCTCCTACGGAAATTCCCCGCGTTTGTTTGCACAAGTCATGTCAAAAACACTCGCCGCGACGCAACTAGAAGAGCTGTCGAAAAAATCACTGGAGCGCTCCCCGCCGCGCGCACGCGCCTCTGTGCACGTGCTAATGTTGCACAAACCTGAAGAGCAGCAGCTCAGCTCACAGATAACTTTTATATAATTTTAAATATTTAAAACGTTAGATGGTATTGTGTTTATTTATTTATTAGCCTAATTATTATTATTAATTTACTGAAATTAAATATACTAATATATACTAAGGTTATTTATTTACATTTTTGTCACGTTCTATATTTGGTGTTTCATGATCTGTATAGGCTTAATGAATATTTAGTCTATCGTGTTTGTTTATTACTATTATTATTACTTTTTGCTGTTTGAGGGTCTGTATAATGACTATTTTGTAGGCTATATAATCTTTGTTTATTATTATTTCATCATTACATTTTTGCTATTTGAGGATCTGTATAATGAAAATTTAATGTGTCATTTTTATTTATAAATATGATTAGCCCCCTATTTTTGCTATTTAAGGGATATGTATAATGAATATTTCATGTAGGCCTATCATTTTTATTTATTATTATTATTATTTAATTATTATTATCCCACTTTTATGATGTTTGAGGATCTGTATAATTCTATAATAATCTGTAAAAAAAAGAAAAAAATATTGTGTTCATTAATAAATCTACTCAATATCTGCATTTGCATCTGATTTTACTAAACGTTCCATTGAGAAAGTAGTCTCTATTCTATTCTATTCTATTCTATTCTATTCTATTCTATTCTATTCTATTCACTCCAGTATTTGCAGCTCCTTCATGTCAGACTGGTGTTTGTTTTGAAATGGCTGTCATTGCATGTTCATCATGAGTGTGTGAAATCTTTGAGGTTTGCTCAGATAGTGTGTGTGTGTGTGTGTGTGTGAATGAGAGGGTCCTGTGCTACACTAGTTGTAATGTTTGTGCACGTGATTTACAGTTATGGATCTGCATCTGCACATTTGTAAATCAAGCGCGGTCCGGGTTTGTTTTATGGATATGAACATCCACTTGCTCCTCATGACTCATGCGTTTCCCAGTGGCTGCTGGGAACTTTAATTAACACTGTTTATGAGTGTTTATGTGCTGGAGAATATTCAGACTGTTGCTGTCTTTACTGTACTTTCATCTGACACATTCAGTCAAGGCTGCACATCTGAATCATCTGTGTTTCTGCTTTGCATTCTTCGTGGATATTCGTATTGTTATGATATTTTATTTTCATTTATGCATTTGGCAAGCGTTCTTAAAGCACTAACACAAAGTATGCATTCTATTCTATTATATTCCATTCCCTTCTATTCCAGTCAATTCTATTACCATTCTATTCTGTTCCATTTCATTCTATTATATTTAGTGCTGTCAAATCGATTGATCGCATCTAACAGCAAAGTTTGTTAATATAATATATGTATATATTTTTTGTATTCACTTCTAGTATATTCTGTCATTCTATTCTATTCAAACCAATTAATTGCATCTAAAAACAAAGTTTGTTTTTATAATATATGTATATATATATTTTTCTATTCCATTCTATTATATTCTATTTCATTCTATTCAATTCCATTCTATTATATTTAGTGCTGTCAAATCGATTGATCGCATCTAACAACAAAGTTTGTTTATATATATATATTCTATTCCATTCTATTATATTCTATTTCATTCTATTCTATTAAATTCCATTCCATTCTATTATATTTAGTGCTGTAAAATCGATTAATCGCATCTAAGAACAAAGTTTGTTTAAATAATATGTATATTTGTTCTAATCTATTCTATTCTATTCTATTCTATATTTACTGCTGTCAAATCAATTGATCGCAACTAACAACAAAGTTTATGTAATATGTTTACATATATTTGTTCTATTCCATTCTATTGTATTCTATTTCATTTTATTCTATTCTGCTCAATTCAATTCCATTCTATTACATTTAGTGCTGTCAAAGCGATGAATTGCATCTAACAACAAAGTGTGTTAATATGATGTGTGTGTGCGTGTGTATAAATCATATTTATTCTGTTGCATTCCATTATATTCTATTTCATTCTATTCTATTCAATTCTATTCTGTTATATTTAGTGTATATTATATCCCATAATATAATATTTGTGTGTGATTGTGTAAATAAACACAAACATACACAGACATATATAAACACACACACATATATGTGTATACATAAATACATGTGTGTGTACACACAAACACACAGACATATATTATCTTAAAACAATTGTTTAGGTTAGATGTGATTAATCATGATTTGACAGCACTATTCCATTCCATTCCATTCTATTCTTTTACTTCCTGTCCCATCCCATTCTATTCTACAGTCTGTTCCTGGTTTAGTTCACTTTCTGCTGTGTTTGGTTGTGTAATTCTGCCATCTACCGGCTGATGTGAGTGAGTTTCCCACATAACCCCGACTGATGTGTGACAGCTGATCCTCAGGGGGCGCGCGCGCTGCGTCAGCACTATATCTGCTGCGCGGGCACATTCACTGGCACTTTTACCTCGCTGTTAATCCATTTAACGCGCAAAACCCTGACGAGTTATAAACCATATGCCATGCGAGAGGGTGACCTTGCTCATCCTCAGACTGACGCGACGGGATTTTTGTTTATAGAATTGGGAAACGTGCATGTGTACGCGCCATGCGCGCGCATGCTTCACTGCGGCATCGCTGCGCCGCCATGAGATCACCAGCAGAGGGCGCCGTTTAATAGCATAAAATGGCCTAAAAATCAGATAAAAGTACGATAAATAAATATATAGTGTTACCAAATATTTGTCGCATAAATAACAATTTATACTAAATAACATAAGGTTTAGAGCAGGTAAAAACAAACTGAAAATCTCTAACACATGTGATCCATGATGTGCACATTTCCTAAACTGACAGACTGACAGGTGAGACAGAAACGCAGGTGATCACGAGTCTCTCCAGGAATCCTCTGGGGAAGATTTGCTTTTAGTGGTTCATGCAAACATCTGTCATTAGCTCTGAGCTTTCAGAATAGACTAATTTTAGCTCTCTGTGAGAGGATTTATTTTGCATTTCAAGCATCGTCAAGTCGAACACATCAGCCTTTAAATCCCGTGGTGTTGAAGAGAAGAAAGCCTCTCCGTAAATCTGCTTTGATAATGATTTCTCCTTCAGGATGTGAGGCTGATTAGTCACACTGTTACGACACTGATCTCAGCATCATTTCTGTAAACTCAAATAACCCATAAACTGCAGGCTCATTTCTAGCCCAAACACTGGGATTATAGGTCAACTAAAAATAAAGTTTATAATACTCAACCAAAGTACAATTTTTGCAAACAAATACAATTTTACAGATGGATGGATGGATAGATGACAGATAGATAGATGGATAGATAGATGGATGGATAGATAAATGGGTGGATAGACATATAGATAGATGGATAGATAAATAAATGGATGAATAGACATATAGATAGATAGATAAGACAGATAGATAGACAAGACGGATATAATTAGACGGATGGATGGATAGATAATTGACATAAAAAAAGTCAAAATTATGATTTCGAATGTCATAATTTCAACTTCTAAATCTAAATATTTGCATAAAAATTCTAACTTAAATCTAAATTACATAGTCATAATTAAAAAAAGCAACAATTTCTACCTTTTCATCTTCGAATTTTGACTTTTTATATCATACTTACTTTAAACTAAAATTCTGAGCGTCATAATTTCAACTTTTTATCTCGTTTTCATGACTTTGGCTTTGAATTCTGACATGAAAAAGCAACCGGTCGTGTGTTTGTGCGGACGGCAGGGCAGAAGGAAAGCTGAAATCACACCAGAGTTTAATTATTTTTTTATTTTTAAATGATATTGTCGTCCTGTGGCAGGTTTAATGCTTTATTCAGATCTCTTTACATAATGAACATGAACGTGTTCAGAATTAAGGTGCAAACATCAGCAAACACAAGGTCAGCATGGCGATAATCAGAACATCTTCTATTAAATACATCATCATCATAGCGCTAACGGGACCCTGACCTTTGACCCCACCCCTTGTAGATGCTGGTGCAGCTCCACTAAATGGAAGACGTCTCATAAACGCAACACACGGATCTGACCAATCGGCAGGCAGATCACATTTAAAGGGGAAGGAACCTGGACTCAAGTGACCAATCAGAAACATGCAGAGCGACGGTTTCCTCGCGGCTGTGTTCAGAATGGCGTTCCAGCATACTAATCTCTGCAGTATACAGTACGAGTCCTAAAGCTAAGCGACACTGATTTATATACAATACAGATCGTTTTCCGAGCAGCTTCACGCTAATGAACAGGAAAATAATGTCGCGAAATTCAGTTTCCCACAATGCAATGCACTGAACATTTCATTTCTGGTGAACTACACTTGTATGATCGGATACAAAAATTGGATTAAACATGCAAAACGGCTTTATTTCATTTCAGAGACTGCTGAATCACACATGCAACATAGTGACAGAAATGTAGTGCACTAGTGTTTGAAACGTCATCCTCTTTTCGAAGCACACGAGGCAGTGTTCAGTATATACCGCGCAGTACGCAGCATGCTAGCTTTCCAGTCCGAACACAGCTAACGGGGAGCGATTAAGCCAAACGCTGAGCGAAGGACAGTGTATTCTCTGCTGATTTAAAGTGGTTTAGTCCAGTTTCGACACTCAAGAGGGCAGTCTGTGCTTTTTGGCAGGATAAAAAAGAGAGAAAGGTTTCGAACGAGAGCGGAACATTCCGTTTACGGAACGCGGAATTCCGTCACTTCCCCTGTGACATCATCGCCCCCCGCAGTACATTCCGAAGTTCTCTTTTTGAAATAAAAGAGTGCGATGTGGTCAGTAGATGTCACCACGCCATTGGTCATAACCGTTATGACATCATACGCTCATGAACCAATCGTTTAACATACAGAAGTCTTAAAGGTACAGTAGCGAGTCTTTCATTTGAAAGAACACATTTTTATACAGTGTGAATGAGATGGAGCAGACTGTCAGCGCCTATCAGCAGAGCAATTCCTGAACCCTTCCCACTTTAGCCAATCAGAGAGCAGAATTCACAAGCCCCTCCCACTCAAAAATGAAAAAACAGAGCAATTATTGGGGGGGGGGGGCACATTCAGTATTGATGAGGTGAGCGACGTATAGCAGTGAGTGAAAGTGCTTTTGGCATTCATCGTAAATCAACGAGTGATCATCGCACATGGCTTAAAGCTCAGACTCCCGAAAGAAACACACTCTTGCATAAAATCTCAAATTTCAGATTCTCCCAAAATATTCACACAGGCAAGAATTTTTTTTAACATTACTTCATTCATTTTTTGTTTCGCTTGATGTTTGTCGATGCTGAAGATGCTGCTGTTTGTTGGGGTGTAAGAAAGCATTCAGCTCCAGGGGTCACCGTGTGTGTGTGTGTGTACATTTACAGGTCAGTGTGTGTGTGTGTGTGTGGCTATGAGCCTTCATGATCGGTAGAGTCCTGGTTTAACTCTTTCCTGATGCCCATAGTGGGAGTTCCTGAGCTTTTCCTGGAGCGCTGCTTCTCATCGATGTCGTGCAGCGACGGCTCCTTGTACATACACACTGAGACAGAGGAACACACACACACACACACAACCTCATTAGTAAACAGCAGTGCTTTTCTTGCAACTGTGATGCATTAGTACAGTGTGGTCCAAACATCTGACTTCATTTTGTAGAATTTTTTTAACATTATTGTCTAAGTTTTCATTACAAATGAGCCGTGTGTGAGTGTGCAGTTAATTAGAAACATGTAAAATTGTTACATTTTCAAGTTTTTATGTTTGTGTGTGTGTGTGTGTGTGTGATTGTGTGTGTGTGTGTGTGTGTGTGAGTGAGTGATTGTGAGTGTGTGTAAGCTTGTGGGTGTAAGCGTGTGTGTGTGTGTGTGGGTGTAAGCGTGTGTGTGTGAGTGAGTGATTGTGAGTGTGTGTAAGCGTGTGTGTGTGTGTGTGTGTGAGTGTGTGAGTGAGTGATTGTGAGTGTGTGTAAGCTTGTGGGTGTAAGTGTGTGTGTGTGTGTGTGGGTGTAAGCGTGTGTGTGTGAGTGAGTGTGTGTGTGTGTGTGTGTGTGTGAGTGAGTGAGTGATTGTGTGTGTGTGTGTGTGTGTGTGTGTGTGCTCACCTTCAATGGGTCTAGGTACGAAGTGTGAACACGGTTTAGTTTTCTTAACCCGGTTTCCCTTCATGATGGATCCTTCTTTATTGAGTCCGAGGAACCAGGCGCGTCCGCTCTCGTGCTGGCGGTACAGCGTAGACGAGTAGATCACATAATAATTCTCAAACACACTCTCCTTAAACTTACACTCCGCTGTGAACATTTCCTACAGACAGAGAGAGAGAGAGAGAGAGAGAGAGAGAGATGTTAAAACATAATAACAGCTCTCAGGTGTGTGTGTGTGTGTGTGTGTAAGAGACAGTTTTTGCCCCAGTTTCTTTATAAAGTGTTCAGCACACACAGGTGGAGAGGGTGGAGACGGCCAACAACCAGAGCAGAAACACCCCAGGTGAACAAACACCTCACACACTCCACACTTTTACCCATTACAGTCAAACCAACAATTATTTTGTTTTTATTGACCCTACAAGTTCCATTAAGCCATCAAAAATTTGAAAAATACAGTTAAATATTATCTTTAACTGACAGAATTATATGGCAAAAAATTATAAAAACTTTTATGCTAAAAAATATTTTTTATTATAAAAAAAATGTATAACAAAAAATATTTTTTATAGGTTTTATTTGACTATGCATAAAAAAGGCTCAGGAAAAAATCATACATCGACTACAACATGATCAATTATTAAAATTTCATTGGTTCTTACTTGAGTTCATAATTTCTTAGTATGAAAGCCTGGTCAAAAATGATTGCCGAACTTCAGTTACTGTACAACTGTACAGTGCCGTATAAAAACCAGTGAAAATGCAGTAAAACTTTAAAAAAAAGTTAATTTGTTAACATTAATACATTAACATTAACTTTGAGCAATATAGGTTTACATGCCAGATTGTACAAGTATATAATAGCTGCAGACCAATGAACCCAAAAGGGGCGTGTCTAAAAAGGGGCGTGGCCTACACACACAAAGACTTCCGCTTCCATCTAATGTTAACGACTTACATTTCAAAATAAAAGCTTGTAAATTAAACCGTTTTTTGCTGAAAGATTAATTGATCTTGCATAGAATTTATGCATATATTAAGTAAAGTTATAGCGTTATTAAACAAACGTTTTGGCCGTTCGTTTAAACGAAAACAGCGTTTTGTGCACCTGAAAATGCAAACTTTTGAAAATGTGTTTCAAAGGGCAAGTTTTTAAAAACGGTCTCCGTGTAAACAGCAAAATCTACAGTGTTTCATCGCCATCTAGTGGCCTAGGGGCAGCATAGCAGTCGTTCTCACCGACCCATGTGAATGGGGATCGCTTCGATAGCGGTGTCGTCTGTGCGTGGAAAACTCAAAGGAAAAGCTTCTCAGTTTTAAGCATATCGTTGTCGTGTAAATGTACCTTAAATCAATATAGATGTGTTTATTATTAAGATATAGCCGATCGAACGTTAAAAGCGTCCGTTTGTGAAAAACAAATCATTCGTACGCGCCGTGTGTGTCGTCTGTCAACAGAAGGAAGACACACCCCGATCAATGAGTCACATGATCAGTGTCAATCATTTCCTTACATTTGATTAGTCACATAGACAGTGAAATCTGACATATTTACATCATAATGTGTCTATATTTTAAAATCTGAATGATAAAACGTTGTTTATTTCCAGGTATTTGTTCGTTTTTCATGTTTTTAATAGTCTCAAACTTTTGAACCCTACTGTATATATCACAAACACACACACACACGAGTACAGGAGATGTGCTCTCATTGCACTCTCAGCATCTCATACCACTTTCGCAGATTAAACGTCACCACTAAATAACCGGTAGAAAACCTCACACACACACACACACACATAACCGTCCTCACCCTGATCTAAAACAGCCAGACCATAAAAACTGCTGAACACACTCTGTAAAATATACCACACACACACACACAAATTACAACAACGTCAATATATATGGGCTGACATTAGTGTTTTTACAAATAAACAGAATGCAGTTCACAAATATACGTAAAATATAAAACTATCAAGGTTAATTAAAAACAAACAAAAAAATTATAACTGGGAAACAAACTATGATTTCCTCAAGTAATCAAATACACGTTTATGATTGCTCAGAGTAAAGTAAAATTAACAAATGAACGCTCATTGTGAATTTTAGGGATGCACGATATATCGGCCAGCATATCGGTATCAGCCGATATATGTTCATTTTTAATGTTATCGTCATCGGCCTGGTAAGAAAACGTGGCCGATATATTAAAACCGATAAATAATGTATTATTCCCTTCAGCTGAGACACTTGTTGAGAACTGTTTATGATTTTGAATTTCTTGAAATATGATTGAAATCTCTTAAAAAAAATGAAAATATGGTTCGATACAACATGTGCGACGCAAATCTGTCATATCGGCTATATAACACTATAATGAGAACATCATTATAATTGTGCGCTTGGGACATGGATTTAATTGTGAGACTTTTGTTTTTGTAATCAGGCTCTCAAAATTAGATAGAAATTTGGATTTAAGTTTATCGGCCGATATATCGGTTATCGGCTTTCAAATATAAAGAATTATCGGTTATCGGTATCGGCTAAAATTTTCATATCGGTGCATCCCTAGTGAATTTTAAATAAATATCATCCCATGCCAAAGTACACAAACAAGAACTTGTGTATGTTGAACACATTATTACAAATATTCTTATAACACAGTATTGTTGAATTCTTCATAAAACTCAAGGGCTCTTATTTTCACAGCTGCATTATCATCACCTCACGGTACATTCAATTACACACACACATGCATAGACTGTCACACTTTGGCAGAAGTTCATGATTTTCACACTGAATCTGAGTTCATTAACACTTTCTCACCCCAAAGATAGAACAACATCCAGAACAGCTGATCTCGACACACAGACATGTGTAAAGTTACATAACAACCTTCATTAAATATGCATTCAATAAGTTCAGGCTCACTCTGTATGAAAGATCAAGCTGCCGTCTGCAACGGCTCATTCAAAGTTCTTCAATAAAGAGCTGGTTTACATGATATGTGTGTGTATGGTGTGGAATTATTTGTGTAAATGTGTTATTTATGTATAAAATATGTATATTTACATAAATTATGTATAAATTAGGGCTGTCAAACGATTAATCGTGATTAATCACATCCAAAGTAAATGTTTGTGTTTACGTAATATATGTGGGTGCACTGTGTATAATTATTTTATATATTTATATAAAAACACACACATGCATGTATATTTAAGAAAAAAATATTATTTGTATATAAAATATTTATATTTATATATAATATAAATTATTATAAATCTTTACACAGTAAATACATGAAAATATTTCTTAAATATATACAAGCAAGTGTGTGTGTATTTATATATATAAAATAGTTATTACACAGTGCACCCACATATATATATATATATATTTTTTTTTAAATCATTATGTAAACACAAACTTTTATTTTGGATGCGATTAATCGTGATTAAATCGCATCCAAAATAAATGTTTGTGTTTACGTAATATATGTGGGTGCACTGTGTATAATTATTTATATATAAATACACACAAATGCATGTATATTTAAGAAAAAAATATTATTTGTATATAAAATATTTATATATAATATAAATTATATAGAAATCTTTATACAGTATATACATGAAAATATTCCTTAAATATATACAAGCATGTGTGTATATATATATATATATATATATATAAAATAATTATACACAGTGCACCCACAATATATATATATATATATATATATATATATATTAAATTATTATGTAAACACAAACTTTTATTTTGGATGCGATTAATCGTGATTAATCGTTTGACAGCCCTAGTATAAATATATACAGTTTTTTAAAAAATTTTGTGTTTTAAGCAGAATTATTACGATTTATCATGAACGAACTTGAAATGACACTTGAGTATAATTATGCTTTTTCCCATATTTTGTGCTGACGTTTATAAAAAAAAAATCAGCAAAATTCTGTGGAAGGAATATTCTGTGTAAAGAGTAGTTTCTGAAAGCATCATCACATTACCTAAATTATGTATTAAACAAATTAAAAATGTGCAGCGCCGTATGAAATCAGAGAAGTGGACCTGGATGGGGTTCAGAGTGTTTAGCAATGGAGATTTTAAAAACGTAAAGCCCACTGTTCAGAGCACACCGAGAGCAGAGACGAACATGTGTGTGTGTGTGTGTGTGTGTGTGTCTAAAACACTGTTAAGCTGCTTGCTTTCTTTGTGAATCAGTGTAGTTCAGCGGCTACACTTATCCTTCAAACTTTAATAGCACAAGTCTGTGAATTATGAATGTAGACAGGAGCCGAGACTCACTCTCACGCTCTCTCTCTCTCCGTCACATGACTGTCGCTTCCAGAACGTTCTTGCTATTAAGCTACATCAGAGAAAGCTAGTGTTAAAATATATCTCTGAACACATCCAAAAACGTAAAAGGCAGCCGAACACCACATGAGACTCGCTACAAAAACAAAGACGCATCCTAGCTAAAACATTCATCGTAAATATTTTTAGTACAGAAGAAAGTACATTTATAATTCCTTTAACCTTTCATCTTCTTTTTATCTACTAAGCTCGATGCAATGCATTCTGGGATTGCCCTCTCTGTGAAAGATACAGTACATGCCATCTTATCTTCAAGAGTGATAGCTGAGCTTGTTGTCTAGATAGGCAGCAGCTCGCTAGTTTTTAGAGCAGAATTAAAAATCTCTTGAAATAAAGGCAGTGTCTATTTCCACTGACTGCGAATTTTATTTTCATTTTATCCAAAGCAAATTACACTGCATTCAAAGTATACATTTTTATTAGGGACGCACTGATATGAAAATTGTGGCCGATACCGATAACCGATATTTCGCCAATAACCGATATATTTGCTGATAAATCTAAATCCAAATTTTTATATACATTTTGGGAGCCTGATTACAAAAACAAAAGTCAATTTCTTATCGGACTGATAATGATAAAATTAAAAATTAACATATTTCGGCCGATATTTGGGCATCTCTAATTTTTATCAGTTCTTGCTTTCACTACTTATAATGTTTCACTAAGTGCATATTAGTCGACATTGTTTGCAAAAGCAGTTTTCACTCTGACCACCAATGCAGATATTTTAAAGGGGGGGTTGATTGCGATTTAACTTTTATCATTTTGAATAGTATGTATTATGTTATATGTTGCTGTTGGTGCATGAACAGTATCTGCAAAGTTGCAGCGCTGAAAGTTCAGTGTAAGCAGAGATATCGTCTTTTAAAAACCAGGAAGTATATTGAAGTATAGTATAGTATATAAAAAAGTAAGTAACCTGGTTGCCTTAAAATTTTAAGTTGATTGAACTGGAAAAAGTGAGTTAATACAATGAAGTAGACTAATTTAACCATCAGAAACTCAAAATAATAAGTTATCTCAACTAAATAAATTATTATAAAGTTGATTTGCCAAAAGAAAATATGTTGTGATAACAAATCTTGAAAATATTTTTTACAGTGTACAAAAACGACTCGATTGGGACTACTACCTTTTTTCATCACTAACCCACACATTTGCATCAACCCTCCCTCCGGAAAATGCAAAAAAGGGCATGCGCATATGCAGCTGTCCAGTGTGTTGTTCACGCAGCTGTCAGGTCTTCTGTGTTCGAGCTTCCCACGGACGCTGTACTTCGTCAACAATGGATACAATTTATGTTTGATTATGTTCCTGAAAGTGACGATCGTAATTTAGCTCTCTGTGCTGCGCATTTTACGGAAGACAGCTTCCAGAATCTCCACAAATTCAACACCGGATTCAACAAGAAACTGTTACTAAAACGTGAAGCAGTTCTGACTTTAAAACCAGAGGCAGCAGTTGTTGGGCCACAACCTGTAAGTAGGCTAAGACTTCATCATTTTAAATGTATTTGCATTAATTCCAGACGTAGCCTTGTGTTTTATTTTTTTTTTCAAATGCCAGCGCTGGCTTTATAGCCACTAGGCTACTACTAGTAATGCTATTTTGTGTCTACGCCAAACGCGTACAAACATTATGGACCTGAATTTTCTATAAGTACTAATGTTGTAAATGTATTTTTCATGTATATATGTTTTATGACGTTATTTTTGATTTGATCAAGAACGTAAACTTGCCAATGCCAACGCTGTTTGTGTTTAACATTAGTAGCCAGTCAGTTGCTATCGTTGCCAGTCAGATGCTATTGTGTAAAACAAACATGTATAAAGTTAAAAATGTAGCAAATTATCATTCAGAAACGTTTAGTAAGAGCCGTGTGTGGTGTGGTTCTGTTTGACTCTCCATCGCGGCTTTCTTGGTCTGATTCTGCCTCAAACTGATACTGCAGTTCGACGCCATTATTTACATCTGGACCGGAGCTCATGACATGCACGTTTCGCCCGTAAAGGTAATGGGCGTTAACCTTCCGGACAACGTGAGCGACAGTTTAGCCAATCACAACACACCGGCCCAAACTAACCAATCTGAGCCCACTGACCCTTTCTGAGGGAGCGGTTTCATAGAATCAGGAAGTCGACTGGTCGTTCACGGGACAGAGGAGAGCGCGGCTGAAAATAAAGGTGAAGTTTATGAAAAATAGGACTTTTAAAAAAAGAAAAACCACGAATACATGTTATATTGCATAAACACAATCATGCAAAGAAAAAAAAAGCAGTCAACCCCCCCTTTAAATGCAGTGGAAACAGCATATTATTTCTGTTTATGTTGCATCTATCAATATTCAGGAATATTAGAAAATTACACCGAATATTACACATTGCATCCTGTACACAACACCACAACCGTATACAATAACAGTCTGTCCTGCTTTCCAAAACACACACACACACACACACACACACACACACACTCACACACTCACTTACAAATACACAACAAGAGCCACACACATACACTCACTTAAAAACACACAAAAAGACACACACACATACACACTACACCAAAATTGCATAATAGTACATACCCTGACAAATGCTACAGAGAAAAGAAACAAAACAGATTGTATAATCACATGAAAAATGGGAATTTCAGATAAAACAAACATGATACACACACACACAGATGTGAGGAGTGTTTTCTTACCGAGGAGTACAGGAAACCCTCTGCATTCATGGCTACGTAGAGTCCAGCCTTCACACCCTGAATCGCCACGACCCGCAAACCCACCGGGATCAGATTAAACAGAGCTGAAACACACCGGGATCAGATTAAACAGAGCTGAAACACACCGGGATCAGATTAAACAGAGCTGAAACACACCGGGATCAGATTAAACAGAGCTGAAACACACCGGGATCAGATTAAACAGAGCTGAAACACACCGGGATCAGATTAAACAGAGCTGAAACACACCGACACAAACACACCGGGATCAGATTAAACAGAGCTGAAACACACCGGGATCAGATTAAACAGAGTTGAAACACACCGACACAAACATTCCAGGATCAGATTAAACAGAGCTGAAACACACCGGGATCAGATTAAACAGAGCTGAAACACACCGGGATCAGATTAAACAGAGCTGAAACACACAGACACAAACACACCGAGATCAGATTAAACAGAGCTGAAACACACCGAGATCAGATTAAACAGAGCTGAAACACACCGACACAAACACACCGAGATCAGAATCAGATTAAACGGAGTTGAAACACACCGGGATCAGATTAAACAGAGCTGAAACACACCGGGATCAGATTAAACAGAACTGAAACACACCGGGATCAGATTAAACAGAGCTGAAACACACCGGGATCAGATTAAACAGAGTTGAAACACACCGGGATCAGATTAAACAGAGCTGATACATACGACACAAACACACTGGGATCAGATTAAACAGAGCTGAAACACACCGGGATCAGATTAAACAGAGCTGAAACACACCGGGATCAGATTAAACAGAGCTGATACATACGACACAAACACACCGGGATCAGATTAAACAGAGCTGAAACACACCGGGATCAGATTAAACAGAGCTGAAACACACCGACACAAACACACCGAGATCAGAATCAGATTAAACGGAGTTGAAACACACCGGGATCAGATTAAACAGAGCTGAAACACACCGGGATCAGATTAAACAGAACTGAAACACACCGGGATCAGATTAAACAGAGCTGAAACACACCGGGATCAGATTAAACAGAGCTGAAACACACCGGGATCAGATTAAACAGAGCTGAAACATACGACACAAACACACCGGGATCAGATTAAACAGAACTGAAACACACCGGGATCAGATTAAACAGAACTGAAACACACCGGGATCAGATTAAACAGAACTGAAACACACCGGGATCAGATTAAACAGAGCTGAAACACACCGGGATCAGATTAAACAGAACTGAAACACACCAGGATCAGATTAAACAGAGTTGAAATACACCGGGATCAGATTAAACAGAGCTGAAACACACCGGGATCAGATTAAACAGAACTGAAACACACCGGGATCAGATTAAACAAGAGTTGAAACACACCGGGATCAGATTAAACAGAGCTGAAACACACCGGGATCAGATTAAACAGAACTGAAACACACCGGGATCAGATTAAACAGAGTTGAAACACACCGGGATCAGATTAAACAGAACTGAAAACACACGGGATCAGATTAAACAGAGCTGAAACACACCGGGATCAGATTAAACAGAACTGAAACACACCGGGATCAGATTAAACAGAGTTGAAACATACGACACAAACACACAGGGATCAGATTAAACAGAGTTGAAACATACGACACAAACACACAGGGATCAGATTAAACAGAGTTGAAACACACCGGGATCAGATTAAACAGAGCTGAAACACACCGGGATCAGATTAAACAGAACTGAAACACACCGGGATCAGATTAAACAGAGTTGAAACACACCGGGATCAGATTAAACAGAGCTGAAACACACCGGGATCAGATTAAAACAGAACTGAAACACACCGGGATCAGATTAAACAGAACTGAAAACACACCGGGATCAGATTAAACAGAGCTGAAACACACCGGGATCAGATTAAACAGAACTGAAACACACCGGGATCAGATTAAACAGAGTTGAAACACACCGGGATCAGATTAAACAGAGCTGAAACACACCGGGATCAGATTAAACAGAACTGAAACACACCGGGATCAGATTAAACAAGAGTTGAAACACACCGGGATCAGATTAAACAGAGCTGAAACACACCGGGATCAGATTAAACAGAACTGAAACACACCGGGATCAGATTAAACAGAGTTGAAACACACCGGGATCAGATTAAACAGAGTTGAAACATACGACACAAACACACAGGGATCAGATTAAACAGAGTTGAAACATACGACACAAACACACAGGGATCAGATTAAACAGAGTTGAAACACACCGGGATCAGATTAAACAGAGCTGAAACACACCGGGATCAGATTAAACAGAGCTGAAACACACCGACACAAACATCTTGATGATCACATGTTGCTCTCTTACAGATCAGGATAGATAGATAGATAAGATAGATAGATAAGATATAGATAGATGGATAGATAGATACTCTAAGGAGGGATGAAGGATAAGAGAGAGAGAACTCAATCTACTAAGTATCAGAGGAAGGTTTCAAACACTCGTCTCGTTGCTGCTGATTCAGATCAAGTCCATAAAAATCGACACGAGGGAAAAAACCCAGAGGAGAGAGAAAACAGTACCAGCGGAGGAGTGCAGGATAACAGAGGGATGGAGGAGGAGAGATCAGAGGGATGAGTGTGCTTGCGTGAGAGAGAATTCATGCTTACAGCAATATTCATATGATGCATGTATGTGTGTAAGTGAGGAATTAATACAAGAAAATCATACTTCTATCCATCAAGGATGCATTAAATTGATCAAAGGTGACATTTATAATGTTACAAAATAGTCTATTTCAAATGAATGCTGTTCTTTTGAACTTTCTGTTCAGCAAAGAATCCTGAAAAATAAAATGTATCAGTTTCCACAAAGACATGAACACTGATAATAATCATAAATGTTTCTTGATCATCAGATCATCATATTAGAGTGATTTCTGAAGGATCATGCGATACTGAAGACTGGAATAATGATGCTGAAAATACAGGAATAAATTACACTTTACTATATATTTACATAGAAAATTGTTATTTTAAACTGTATAATATTTCACTATTTTTACTATATTTTTGATCAAATAAATCTTTCAGAAACATTTAGAAATCTAAATGAATCCACACTTTTGACCAGTAGTGTGTGCTGAATGCATCTTGCTTATAAAAGTAAAAGTTATTAACAGTTAGTTGAACTGTTGACATGCATCGACCTGAACAATAACACATTTGGTTTATTCACGCATGCATTTGCTGTCAAATTAGTTTCATTCCTTCATGTTAAAAATGTGCATTAAATGACAATAAAAGAACACATTTGGTTTCCTGACACATGCATATTTTGAAGGAAACCCGAGTGCAAAAGTTAGTTGTCGTAACACAATAACACACAAGTCTCTGAACTCTCTCTCTCCTGTAGTTTGTTCATCAGTTATTCTTCATTTAGCCGCCCAGATTCTTGCTGTATTGTGTTTCATCAGTCCGACTGATCCATATTCTCACTTTAGATAAAAACATGTTTGCCCACAGTTGGTTATGTTATATTAGAATTCCGCATTGCTTAAAAAAAATCTCATTTCTAACAAGATAACATCTGAAGTATTTACTTTCTTTACGGTTACGCACACTGGTCTTGTTACGAATGATCCTGTAAATTCAAAGTAGAAATGTTCATAATCTTTAATCAAACTGGCTGGCATTGCCTGTTTCTCTGTGTAACACATCACATTATTGCAGTGAAATGGGTTCATGTTGACTTTAACACTAAATCTCTGGCTGAACACAGTAATGTGTGTCTCATGTGAATCAGACAAAGACTCTGTGTCTAAGCCTGTTGGACTCGCTAATGTGAGTTATGCAGATAAGAAGGAAGGCCGTGTAATTCAAAAGCGTTTCAGAGGAGATTGGAAACATGAGTGGGCACCTTCAAAACACAGGAGATGTAACGCTCGAAAATCCCGAGCTTTAGAAGTGAAACATCCCTCTCTAGCTCCCTGGGGAGATGAGCGAGCTCAGAAGTGTGTGTGTGTGTGTCAGTGATGCATATGTAGATCTGAGAAATACGCAAACTGTGAGATCAGGCGAGATCACACACACACACACATGCATGTGACGACGACTCGAGTCATATTTCATCCAAAAAGCAAAAGATAGCGATGAGTCATTTTGAAGAAAACATTAACAATAAAACGTGAAAATTATATAAGAAATATCAAAGAATATATATATATTAGGGCTGTCAGTTTAACGCGTTATTAACGGCGTTAACGCAAACCCCTTTTAACGGCGTTAATTTTTTTATCGCGCGATTAACAATCTTTTTGTCCTAGCAAACTTTGTAGTTTTTTCACATGCTTTTGCAACAGGACTGCATGCTTCCTGATCCATTTCGGCGTCTCGCGCTCGTCATCCACTCAAAGCCGGCTCGCAAGCCGAAACGTGTGTTTGCGGTGTGCCTGTTTCGTTAACGGTCTAGCTAGATCTGCTTGCGCTTTGGTCGAAGAAGCAACAAAACATCCTCGCGCGGCGCAAGCCATTGAAATGAAAGGGTTCAGAGCGCAGCGCGAGGACGTTTTGTGCCGCACACACTCGTTTCGGCTTGCGAGGCCAAATAGTAACGTTACGTTTGAGTGGATGACGAGCGCGAGACGCCGAAATGGACGCCAATAAGATACTGAATGGAAAGTTTACTTTTAAAAAGTTGCCAAATTGTCCCATTAACAAGACCAAGTGATCTGTGTGTTTTGTCGTTTTGAACTGAGCGATCATCATCGCAGCACGTCCAGTCTGAAACACTACTTGATGATGGCCAAGCACACACACACACACACACACACCGACGATGCGAATTCTCCACCCCCTCGCCAATATTAGGACCTCGTCAGTATTTTTTTCACCCTTTTATTTAGGGCTGGGTATTGAGACAAATTTCACAATTCGATTCGATTTCGATTCACAAGCTTGCAATTCGATTCGATTACGATTCGATTCAATATCGATTATTTTGGATATCAGTTTCAATAAATGGCATTTTTTCTCAAGGGAATCAAATCTCTTAACTAATGCTGTAAACTATGGGAGTCTAGTTGTAGCCTATAGACTTCATTAGCCTAATATGAAGGTAATAATGAATGAATCACTTAAATTACACTTTTAATTATTTTTATAATAAGAAGATTATATGAAATATAAACATTTAAATGGTGGCTATATATTTAGCAAAATGCTCCTCTCTGGAGTTATTTTTTCTAGCTGACTAACGAGTTTATGTGGGTTTTCTGAGGTAAATATGACGATGACATTGATTACAAGCTGTTTAACTGACGTCTTTCCACGGTTGAAACGCTGATTGAGCGAATCAATGTGACATGATACGGATTTGGATAAGTTGTACTCTATCTTTAACACACTTTCAGATGCTCATTCATGTTTAACTGGTATTATTAAGCTGGAAGAGAGATCAGCGCTGCTGCTTCTCCAGAGCGATCTCACGCCACAGCGACAAAACGCTATTTATGTTTTTGAATTTTTAAAGAAAATGGACGTAATTTGAAAATTGAGACTTTGCTTCATATCAATAGTAACAAAGGACAAAGATTATTGCGATTTTTTTTATGCGCGCGGCCGCGATACAATGACCCATTCATTCAAATGAAACAGGATGACTAATCGATTCTTGAGATTTAATCGGTTTGTAAAAATGAGAATCGATTAATATCGAGAAATCGATATTTATTACCCAGCCCTACTTTTATTGATAGACAGTGTTACATTGTGTGAGAGATTATTTGCATATGTTAGTGTGAAATTGAACACTATTCCAATGTTATTTTCAATAATAATAATTAAAAAAAAACATTTGCACTAAACAAGCCAATCCACTTTCCCATGTTGATAAGAGCATTAAAATGAGAAAAAAATGTGACAAAAATAAATCAAAAGACATTTAGAATTGATACAAATGTGCGATTAATCGCGAGTTAACTATGACATTAATGCGATTAATCGCGATTAAATATTTTAATCGTTTGACAGCACTAATATATATATATTTCTTTATTAACCCATGCAAAATGTAAGAGTACATTAAGATTTCTCTGAGCTGTTGCTCCAGACCATGGGGTTTCAGAGCATATGAGTTTGTGACACGGAGGAACAGAAAGAGAGAGAGACTCACTGTAGTCGCTGTTTTCATCTTTACTCCCAACGACGGTTCCGTCCGGCTGCATCTGCAAGTAGAAACCCTGCTCACTGAAGAGCCTGGTCACTATCCCCTTCAACTGAGGATCTGAAACACACACACACACACACACACTGGTCACTATCCCCTTCAACTGAGGATCTGAAACACACACACACACACACACACTGGTCACTATCCCTTCAACTGAGGATCTGAAACACACACACACACACACACACTGGTCACTATCCCCTTCAACTGAGGATCTGAAACACACACACACACACACTGGTCACTATCCCCTTCAACTGAGGATCTGAAACACACACACACACACACTGGTCACTATCCCCTTCAACTGAGGATCTGAAACACACACACACACACACTGGTCACTATCCCCTTCAACTGAGGATCTGAAACACACACACACACACACACAGGTCACTATCCCCTTCAACTGAGGATCTGAAACACACACACACACACACAGGTCACTATCCCCTTCAACTGAGGATCTGAAACACACACACACACACACTGGTCACTATCCCCTTCAACTGAGGATCTGAAACACACACACACACACACACAGGTCACTATCCCCTTCAACTGAGGATCTGAAACACACACACACACACACAGGTCACTATCCCCTTCAACTGAGGATCTGAAACACACACACACACACTGGTCACTATCCCCTTCAACTGAGGATCTGAAACACACACACACACACACACTGGTCACTATCCCCTTCAACTGAGGATCTGAAACACACACACACACACACACACACACACTGGTCACTATCCCCTTCAACTGAGGATCTGAAACACACACACACTGGTCACTATCCCCTTCAACTGAGGATCTGAAACACACACACACACACACAGGTCACTATCCCCTTCAACTGAGGATCTGAAACACACACACACACTGGTCACTATCCCCTTCAACTGAGGATCTGAAACACACACACACACACACACACACACACGTCACAACACACAACTGCAAAGCACCTGGCTGTTGTGACGTGTGTGTAAAGGGCTCCATGTGTGTGTACAGCTCATAAAGAACTACAACTGAACTCAATGTTTTGCAAGACCTAAAACACAAGTTTTAATGGAACGGATGCTGAACTGCGATCAGACCACAGAGCTGTTCTAAATGAACCAATTAAAAAGGAACCCGTCATGCTGCTAGCCAATTAAAAGGTGTTGATTGTTTTATAGATAATTATATCAGTAACCCGGCTCCCCTTCTCTGACATCTGGCCACTCCTCAGCATGAATCTAAGCGCTTTTGACCAATATTCACTATTAAAAAGGCCACACACACTATAAAAAGACCTCTGACAAGGAATAATACATGACGTAAATAAACCCAACTGAATAGAATAGGATTTGCCAGCTTTAATTTGCATGTTTAATTTGAACACAAAACATAATATTAGTAACATGCTGCGGCTCAGGGTCACACTTTATAATACCATCAAACATTATTGTTATCATTACTGAAATCTGTCTGTGTACATATATACATTACCAGCCAAACGTTTTGGATCTATAGTAGGATCTAAAATTACTATATATTTACATAGAAAAGCTTTTTTATTATTTAAAATTGTAGTAATATTTCACAATATTACTGTTTTTTGTATTCTTAATTAAATAAATGCAGCCTTGGTCAGCAGAAGTAGTGCAGCATAAATATATCATCATCAGACTTTTAAATAGTAGCCTATCTGTTGAGCGCGCGCACAGGTGATCATCGCGCGTTTATCTGGAGCTCCGCGCGCACAGGTGTGTGTGTGTGTGTGTGTGAGAGGTGCGAACGAACTGACCTGATTTCCGTCGCACGGGTCGTTTTTTCCCGCTGCAGAATCGGACTTTACCGAAGAGACCGAACAGGTGCCGGTTGCATAGAGATGTTCGTCCGGACGGCTCTTTGCCCGGGCTGGAGCGACGCTTACCGGTCGTCGCGCGCTCGCTGTTCGCCTCCCGCGCCTGCCGTTTCTGTCGGATGAGCGAGCTCGCGAGCGCCGCGGCCATCTCACGGGACACGGAGGAACACGGGTCCGGTCGGTACGGGGACGATTCGGTGCGGATTCACGGTGCGGATCACCGGCGCGAGGGAGCGAGCGCGCGCGCTTCTCTCGTGCAGGCATGCACCGGAGCATGAGCGATACCGATAGACTCGGTTACTTACCACGGAAAGCACTTAAGAGTTACATAACCGCACAATTAGACCACATAACAACAGAGAGCGTAACAGTTACAAAAAAATGGTTATTCATGATAAACGAAGAGCTTCTGGTTCAAAACGCGGTAACACATCCGTGATCCGGTTTGTCCTCAACATGTTGATTTAGCAACATCTCTGTCCGGTAGATCCAGTGCGGGGAAAAGCCTCAAAGCAACAAGCAAATCCAACATTTTTAACCGAGGAACCGAGAGATGGATTTTTGCGTGATTCAAGCCGAATTGATGAAGTTCAGAATGATGCGGAGGGAAAGAGAGACACGGGAGGGGGAGTAGTGAGTGTGTGTGTGTGTGTGTGTGACAGAGAACAGAGGGGGGAGGTCAAAGCTTTCCCGAAAAAATGGCACAACCCACAGCCTATAAACCAGAATCAAAATTGGGCTTTTAAAGTCACCATGAAATCAAAACGGACTGCAGTATTTATTATAAATGATTTATCATCAGTGCACATCATTGTCGTTTTCAATTCATGTTCCTTTTGCAGCGACGTCTCTTCTCTTGCGACGTCATTACTGGCATGAGGGCGGGGCAACCTGTCACTCACATGAGATCCACCAATAGCAAACCACAACCATCCAATCAATAGCTTGTTTTCACGTGACGTCACGCCACTGCGTTGCCATGGCGCGAAACGCAGATGGAGGGCAGGAAGTGATTTTCAATATTTAGGAAGCACAATAACAAACTCAAAATGCCTATGTTTTGCGTCGTTTATGGTTGCTCAAATCGATCAAACCACGAGGAGTTTTTATCGTGTGCCAAAAGTTGTTCATAAGGCGGGAAAATACAAGAAATTGACAGAAAAACACCGGGGAAAATGCCTTGCAAACCTACGTCTGTGGTCGGGAGGAGCCGAATGGAAAAAGGCCTGTGTGTGTGTTTACAGTGATCACTTCGTCAAATGTGAGTTAATACATTATCTATGTGGCTTATAATTACATTATTCCGGTGTTTATAAAACACTTATGTGGCTGTTCGTGTAACGTACCAGTTTCCGAACTTTGTAAAGTCAAAGTATGTCTGTAAGACGAGTTAGTTGCTGATATCTACAGGCAAATCTCTCAATTCAGTTGAAAATCGGTCCTCTTCATAACGTCAGGATCACGTCCAACATATGTTTCGATTTTCTGTTGATATATTTCTCTTGTAATAGCATCTAAAGTAGTACAGTACGGATTTTCCTCCATCTCGTCCATTGCGCTCTTCACTCCTTGCCCTCCATCTGGATTACGCGCGTCAACACAATCACGTGACTGCAAACCACCTATTGACCTATGGCTAAGCCACGCCCCCTCCACTCACTCGGCAGGGCGCTATGGCAGCCGTCACATTAGGAGACATTTCATGGGAGGCAATTGGTGATTTTTGGAGACAGAAAAATTATACATCATCTCGAAGTCACCTAAAGGGCATTAACTATGCATTGGAGGGTTATATTAATAATTTTATTGTTGAGAAGGTCGATGAAAAGCTTCAGCTCCAGGCAGAGATGTAACGTTACCTGTTCATGAAGCTGAAAGTGCACATAATAAAATACTATACCACTGATTCAAACCAACAGGAATGCTTGCTTTTTCTGCTCTATTATGTTTATGTTTTATGCGAGTTAGGGCTCCATATTAGTGATTGAAACGGGCCCACGGATGCTTAAGGCTAGAGCCAGACCGATATTATCGGCCGATATTAGGCATTTTCCAAACTATCGGTATCGGCAGTTATAATGGCCGATAAATTAATATTTTAAAAATAAAATAAAAACGGACGAAACACGCTTGAACCGTGTCATGAGTGTTGGAGTTGTATAGTTTGTCCACCAGAGGGCACTCTACACCGTTCCTGTTGGCAACACTCGTTGAGTTCGAGACATACATTGCTTGAATAACAATTAAAAGAACATCTCCATCAGTTCTCTTAACTCAAATAAGCATGACAAAATTTGACTATCACGTCCAGTTTTGCTGAGAGCGAAGCGGAAATAGCTAGTAATAGTTACGTTACGTTGTTACAGTCTAGTCGACTGACTGTCCTTTTAACTTTTGACAACGTGACTGAAGTATTTATTTAATAGCGCGTGACAGTTATAGCAATGAGACGTATCATCTCTCCTTGGCCTGTTATATTGTAAATGTATGTTTTACAATTTGTCGCACGTTTCTGAAATAATAATTTAAAAAAAATATCGGCCGATATATCGGAATATCGGATTTTGAAACCAATAAATATTTGTATCGGTATCGGACTTCAAAATCCTTTATCGGTCGGGCTCTAATAAACATGACAAAATTTGTGACTATCACGTCCAGTTAAAAAAAATTAATAAATAAATAAAATATCGGCCGATATATCGTAATATCGGATTTTAAAACCCAAAAATATTTGTATCTCTATCGGCCTTAAAAAAAATCCTTTATCGGTCGGGCTCTACTTAAGGCCGCCGCTGATATCAGTCTCTGTTCGAGTAAAGTGCTTAAACTCTAGTGTGGCCACGCCATTTTATAATACATCCAGATTAGTAAACATAAACATTCCTATGGTCAGATTTAATCAGTGCAGATAAACAGTCGCTCGCGAGATGTCGAGTGTTGCAAATAAATCATTATAACGCAGAACCGTGTAAACGAGTCCGTATCATTAGGACAACGTTTAATCAGGGCGTTTCGATTATTCCATCTGTGGATGGTTTGGCTTGACGCGATTGCTTTTTACGACGCACGTTTCTGACGGACGGATGCTGACTCAGGTACAGATCGCGTATCGAACACACAGAGCTGTCGGGCGCTGAGAGATCGCTTCTGAAGTCTCCAGTAAAGAGGCCAATCACTGTGACCCAGATACATCATTCAACCTTCATCACACAACACTGATTATTTTATCACTGAGAGAAAGAGAGAGACGGGGGAAAAGAGAGAAAGAGAGGATGTCTATCTATAGTCTCCGCTGTGCCAGTAGTACACGCACACACACATTTAAGGTCCCTTCAAAGCATCCAGTACTTGCCTTATGCGGATATCATACATGGATATTTAAATACAGAATATATGACACACACACACACACACTTGAGGTCCCTTCAAGTAAAGCATCCGGTACTCGTCTCATACATACATATTTACATACAGTACACGCACAACTAAAGAGCCTGGTCACTTTCCCCTTTAACTGAGCTCCTGAAGCTCCGCCCCCTGTTCCGAGAGCAGCAGCTCATTTGCATTTAAAGGGACAGACACAAAACTGCGTGTTTTTAACTGACCCTCAAAAAGAAAGAAAAAATCTAAGGGGAATTTTGAGCTAAAACTTCACATACACACTCTGGGGACCTCAGAGACTTATTTTACATTATAGGACCCCTTTAAATTAGCACCAAATGATCTCAAGCCAGGAGGAAATGAGCGTCTACACATTTGAATATGAGATTTTTCTGTTGGGTCACCAAAGCGCCGTGACCTGTGAAGAACAAGATGAGGAAGAGGAAGACGAGTGTTGAAGATGACCCCTGATGATCCAGGAGTAGTATAACCCCATCTCAGCACTGCAGGTGTGTGTGTGTGTGTGTGTGTTCGGAAGAGTGTATCCTATACTGATCCCAAAATGAGTGTACGTTTCAAATCAGAGATCAGATTTGGGAAAATAAGAAAAGAGACGGAAACTGAAACTCTATAATCTGTATTTAGTTTCTTTGGGTTGGTGGGAGCCGTGCTCTGATTGGTCAGTTGAAGAAAGGAAGGAACCAATGGCAATCTGTCTTTATTATGACCCCTAATGGAGCAGTTTGGAAATTGATCAGAAAACTCAACACCAACACACACAGGTCATCAACTTTCCGGCTGTCATTGTGATCAATGACTCCTTCTCATGGACACACACATATAAACACAGCATTTCAAACATTAATATAAATGCTTTTTCAGATATTGAATGAATTAAACAATATTTTCGTCTGATGCAAAATGTAATATTATCGCCCAGCTATATATTAAAAGTTGTATATATACAATATACAATAGGCATGATGACGAATGAGGAAATGTGATTTTGGTGATCAAATATGAGTTTTAAGGAACACAATTATTGACTACAGGAGTATTTTAAGATATTATAAACAATAACATCCTGATTTTCTGTAAAGCTGCTTTGAAACGATTATGAATAGCACCACACAAATACATTTACTACATCTATGATCCCATCATTGCATTTTGGCATCGTCTAATCTGAAAAAGACACCAAAATGAGGTTATTAAACTACGTTTAGGATGCAGTTTAGTTAGGCAGCTCACTAGGTCAACGGTTCAATGCTGCCTGTTAGTGGTGAGCAGTGTGAAGCGCAGCCTCATCATCATCATCATCATCATCATCCTCCACTAAACACAACAGCACTAGCAAATCCACAAATAAACACGGCAGAGAGAGAGTGCGATGAATGTTTCATGTGTACCAGTGTATTTGCGTGACGCAGTCGTTCATTCTGAGAGCCTGCATCATTTATGAGCACATCAGTACCTCTCTCACATCCTCATGCAGCTTTAAAACCTTCACTAACCAACAAAAGCAACAACACAATCACCACGCGAAGACAAAATGCCTATAAACATTCACTCAAACTGATTTAAGACTATAAATGCGGGCAATGCAACTCCTTCATTAGAGCAGGTCATGATACTATTTATATCCGTCTTAGAAACCGATGTGTAACGCAGTGCGTTTGATTCTCAAGCACATCATGCATTCATTTATACAGTCCTTTATCATGTCGTCCTCATTTTTTTTATTTCCAATTTTGATTTTAAAAAGGGAAAAAAAAGAGAACGAGTGTCTGGATCATCTCCACTAGGTGGCAGTAAAACATCCGGATCCGATGGAAACTTGTTTCTGGCAAAGAATTTAAAAATAAAAAAAGGTAATTGAGACATTTTTCTCACAATTGTGAGTTTATATCTCGTTATTCGGACTTTATAACACGCAATTGTGAATTAATATCTCATAATTTGGACTTTAACACGCAATTGTGAGTTTATATCTCGTTATTCGGACTTTAAAACACGCAATTGTGAGTTTATATCTCGTTATTCGGACTTTAAAACACGCAATTGTGAATTAATATCTCATTATTTGGACTTTAACACGCAATTGTGAGTTTATATCTCGTTATTCGGACTTTAAAACACGCAATTGTGAGTTTATATCTCGTTATTCGGACTTTATAACACGCAATTATGAGTTTATATCTCGTTATTCTGACTTTATAACACAATTGTGAGTTTATATCTCGTTATTCGGACTTTATAACACGCAATTGTGAGTTTATATCTCGTTATTCGGACTTTAAAACACGCAATTGTGAGTTTATATCTTGTTATTCGGACTTTATAACACGCAATTATGAGTTTATATCTCGTTATTCTGACTTTATATTATAACACGCAATTGTGAGTTTATATCTCATTATTCTGACTTCATAACACGCAATTGTGAGTTTATATCTCGTTATTCTAACTTTTTAACACAATTGTGAGATTATATCTCATTATTTGGATTTTATAACATGCAATTGTGACTTTATATCAGGTACAGGATAACTATAACAGAAAGAATAACAAACTCGAAATATATATGCTCTTAAAAAAGGAC